TCTGTTACATTTTATTTATTCGGAGGGATGAACTGTGGACGCAGTTGTTGGGTAAAATTTTTCTTCAAAGGAAGAGCAAAACAATTGTAGAATAACAAGGTGGTCGGAAAGAAATAATAGGCTACTCAAATAGCCCAAAAATGGAGCTAAGTCTTTCTTATCCCTTCCCCCCACCCAAAAAAAGGGTCCCAGTGGATTTACAAAAAGAAATAAAAATTAAAAAAAATAATAATAATAAATCATGACTATCATTTTATTGCAAATTTGTCTAGATGAAAATAAGCTTTATGTAAGGGTTTAGTTGGATTAAATTGGGAGAGTGTGATTGTATTCGGGAAGTTCATGAGGTTTCAGACTTTGGTTTAGGATGGTCACTGGATTTGTATCAAGAAGAAGTTTGTGCTTTTGGTTGTAACCTGGGATCTTCTGTTAGAACGGACTAGCTTTTCACTATATCAATACAGCGATTGTTTACATTCAAATCAAAAAAGGGATAATTTTGACAAATAAAATTACAACTACAATGGAAAACTAAATTCAATAAAGGGTGAAACGGAGTTAAGAAGTCATCACTTTCTTCCCTTGAGGCGCACAAGGTACTGCTAAAGTCAATTATGACTCAATCATGTCACCAAGTCAAAAGCCAGTTTGCTTGTTATCTCACCCAACCTCTACAGTCACAAGTAACGTCAGAGTAACTCTTATCTCACATATGTTTCATACCATGTCCCATTCCCATCTCATTACACGTTGAGATGGATCCCAACTCAGCAAGTTTTATTTTTAACCAAGATAAAAGTGAAACCTATACTATCACATGCATACATTAAAATATATATTGTAGCTGCACATAAATAAACAAAATTTATACACAACCATGCATATTATACATGCATCTTATAGATGATTATATAATAATATATGTTCATATCTATACTCAGGCATACATGCATAATAAGAATCTCAAGCATGCCTATTTCCTTACCAGTTTTAAGCCTTTTGACATTCTGGTCAAAAAAATCTGAAGGAAGCACAGATGATGACTGACGTTTTGGGAACTCTGTTGATGTCTCAGTCATTGCTTTCTGCTCTTTCAAATCTATTGGTCTGCTTTTAGGGAGTTCAGTAGGAGCCGCAGCTTTAATATCGTTAACTCCTGACCTGCCTGCTGCATTAGCTTTGAGATTATTTATTGCCTGTTATTTACAATAACTTCCCATCAGTAATAAGTCAACCAGAAATCAGCTCAAATTGAGTTGGATTAGGATTTAAAACTTTAAGTTCCCTATCAAGAGCTAGTAGAGAAAACAAAATGTAAACAAGAATAATCAAATAAATAAACAAAACGAATAAACAAGTAAAAGAGAAAACATCCATATGAGCATTCATTGTATAGTGTGAAGAATAAAAATAATAATAAAGCTTCGAGAAAGGGACTCTTGTGTACTTCTAAGTTCTAACAGCATAAAAAAGCAATAGTCTATAGTAGAAGAGCAATATTCCACCCTTATTTTTTAAAGAAACCTGATGGATTATAACAGAAAAGATCAGTCACTTTTTGTACAAACATTCCGTTTTTATCTTCTTAGTGGTGTTACAGCAGCAGCAAATTCATTTGTAACTTCCCCGTATCTATGATTCTTCTTGATTGGAAAGCTTTTTGTCATTAGTCTCTTGGGAGGAGGCAATCTCTTCCCTTGCCCTTAGGTTGTTGCTGCCTTCGTACATTGATATCAATGCACACGTTTCTTATTGAAAAGATAATAAGAACAGAAAAAAGAGAAACGAACTAAGGACAAGGGGAAGAGGGAACTCCCCCAACAATGAGAGGGTTAATGATTGGATGCGAAACAATTTTTGGCAGTATCTATTGCTATTCTGTGCACAAATTGAGAACAAAAGTAACTCGAAACTCTAAGGAAAATGCTTCAGCTGATAATAAATACTAATCTATGTTATTAGAACATAGTAGGCTATTGGCTTGAAAGTCAAAATGCTCCTCTTAGATCTACTATTAGGAGGCTTTATAATGTGAATAACTCAAAAGAATCTCTTGTCAACCGTGATCACCTTATTGTGATTTCTCTTGTTCCAAACTTTCAACAAAGCAAGCACCTTTTAATTCCTCCATGATCAAAACTATTTGGAAGGCGAAAGTTCCTTAAGTGAAAGATTTTCTCCACATTTCCTCCACCTTTTCCGTACCAGGCCATCATGTGCAAAAGAAATTTGGAGAACTATTTCCTACTGATCTACTAATGTCCTCATTGGTCTAGGCTTTATAGCATCAGCAAGGCTGCATTCATCCAGCTCACGATAGGATCTCCTTTCAACAGGCTATATAGAGTTGTGGTCTGAAGTAATGACTGCTCCATCTTCCAAACATCGACACATGACTGCTACACCTATTTAAAAATCTAATGTTTCTCTCCAACCAAACACCCCATAAAATAGAAAATAAGCTAGCTTGCCATATTAAAAAAAAATTGCCTCTCTCCCAAAAGGGTTTACCACAAAATATCTATCTTTGAAAGAAAATATAGGATTTTCAAAGGGATAGAATCTCCTTTTGTGCTCACTCTCAGAATATTCGGTTATTATGAGGTTATGCATATCTCCGTTAACTAGGAATCCCTTATATACCGCATTTTCTTTGTGGGAATACCTCATCTTCATCCGTACAAACATTTCTCAGTTACCAATATTTGTTTAAAAAGAAAAAAAAAGGTAGGTGAAGCGATCATTCATCGACTTGAGAGTTGAGTCAACTAAATATCCAATCATTCATCATTAAAATCCGAAATAAAAGTTTACCTGTTAAACGTTGTTTTTCAAATAACAAGCAAGAGAAACTCATTTTTTCAATGTAGAAAAACCAGCGCGCCCATGCATAATATATTTTAATAAGATTTGATCTGGTAAAGCATCACCTCATGATGTCTGCGAGAAGACTGGTGAGCATCCCAGTAAGCCTCTGATTTCAATACAATGTCGCAAACCCTACAGACAGGTTGGTCCAATTCATTGTACCTGTTCGTGCATTTTGAAATATTAGCTGATGAATCTTAAACTCTATAATTTTCGAAAGGGAAAAACAGCTGAATAAGCCACGACGATTAACAATCATACAATCTTCCCCAATATCAATCGGTTAAATTATATCTGGAGTTATGTGCCACTGCCATACATTCCTACGACACCCTTATGTAAAGAAAATAGAGAGAAAAATAGTCCGATCTACTAACGGAAAGAGAAAACTACACGCGTACTGAGCTAAATGCAAAATTAATGCGAACTATTCCATGAGAGCATAATTTCCCATTGGTAACTTCCACCTGCGATTAACCGAATAGTCTACTGCAGTACACAAATCAAAATCGGAAATAGGAGCAGAGAAAAACGAAGTAGATAGGAGAAATCCGTGAAGAACCTTGAAGCTCCCATATTCATCGTTATGTACCTGACAAGAGGAGAATCGATGCGCTTTTCCTTCTTCTGGGCGTTCAATTTAGCACGAAACAATGCTTTCCTCTTGGCTTGAGCATCCATTTGGTCTTCTTTCTTCCTCCTTGCAGACCTAGTTCAGATCGAAATATGCCTCAAACCTCATGCCCCAATCTTTGTTCTTCTTTTTTGATTCGGTAAATCACCCGACAAAAAGTTTGAACTCGAAACTCGTTTACCAATAATTTTAGAGAGAGAAACTCGAGGCGGGGCTTATAATATATATATATATATATATATATATATATATATATATATATATATATATATATATATGTATGTATGTATGTATATGTATGTATGTATGTATATATGTATGTATATATGTATGTATATGTATATGTATGTATGTAAATGAATAAATATTTGTAATATTGAAATTTAGTTTTTTATAAATTATATTTCCCCGTTATACTATTTTCTTTCCCTACAAAATATTATTAAAATTATTAAGATTTGTTGCATTTTTTCAATACAATTTATTTAAAATTTCTTTAAAGTTAATAGATATTTTTAAATACATATATAGAAAAAATTCTGGTAAATAATTGGATCCTTTAAATTTTTAGGGAGAATCCCTATTCTGATTTCAATAGTGCGACATTATGACCTCAACCGGAGACAAAGTTTCACATCTCTACTTGTGTCGTAGTTATACATTTACAATTGTGCGCCTTGACACGTTCATGACAAGGCTTAACAGAAACTCAAGTCATGTTTACATTTTTCGTCGAGGTTTGTGTCTTTGTTGGACTTTAGGCAAGGTTTTCATCTACCAACCAAACGCAACTCATACAGAATCTAAGTGTGTTCATCCATACATGTCTGTGCATGTATGTTTAATTGTCATTTTGTCTAAGTTAAGTTCTTTTGTTTGACTTTGTCTCTTCTATAGCCTAAAGTCTTTCATATGCAGCATCGCACCTTATATCGTTGTTATTTTGTCACCTAGGTTCCCAACAACTTGGGGCACGTATCTCAATGTCATTCTAAGTATTGGAATGTCATTGGTCCTTGCTGCTTGTTTGGGCATGCTTATTGAGAACTAATCTCATGAGTCGATTATATTGTCAAAGCATCGAACATCCATTCATCCTAGTTCTACTTAGACATAAATCCATTTAATGTCAATGTTGAGTCACTCATGGCTACCATATCAAATAGTAAGTGCATTTATCAACCTCCGACATATGGGTTGGGGCGCAATGTCGCACAACATGTGCACTTCGATACCATCTTTGAAAATATCTCTTTTTGAAGAAAGATGCCTAAGACACTTGTCGACAACGCTCGTCCATATTATGATACCCGTATGTGTCATATGGTAGCTAAATCCGACCATGAAACTACTAGATTTATTTATTTATTATTATTATTATTATTACTTTTTTTAAGATTTAAGGTAATATTGAACATAAAAGTATTTTTTTTATTAATTAATCCTTGAAATAAACTCTAAGCCGAGAGACTAAAATGTTTCCCCGGTTCCCCTTCTCACCCCTTGCGGAAGGAACCCAGTTTTTTCCATGTCCGAAGGTCAATTTTCAGTTCAATTTCCCAACTCGACGTGGGATCTTTAGTCCATTTCAGGGATGAGGGACCTATTCACCTTCACTCTGCGCAGAGTTGAAATCCCCAAGAACGCTCCGACGGACTGCGATTTGAGAGAAAGAACAGCCAAATCCGCATCCATATCTTCCCATATTCTTTACCTCCTTCTGTTCGTTAATTCTCTTCGTCTCTCTTCATCAGGTATGTTAAAAGAGAAGGGGCTATCAATTTTTTGATTCAATGTTTTCTTATTGCTCGTTGATTATGAATGCCGATCAGTCTTGACGTGTTTAAGTAATGTTACTAATGCATTTGGATTACTTCCGATTTCTTATTCTGCATGGCTTATTGGTAGCGGGTACATTATTTGAAGCAATTAGACGCCGTTTTGCTACTTTATGTTCAATTTTTTTTGTTTTCACCACCGAATGTTTTGTTGTACGTGCTGTGTATGCTTGGATGTTGGTTTTTTTTTTTTTTTTTTTTTTTTTTTTTCC